ACTACTCATCTGAGGTCCTGCGAGGAATTCTCAGGCTGACAGGATGAGCTGATGGCCTTTGATATGTTGCTTACTTTCTTATTTGGCATGGGAGCGTACTCATGAGCATGTGAGAGAAACAGATAGCTGGGAGGAGTTGGGGGTCACCTCATAGTTCTGTGATTCATCTCCTGGAACTGGCCCCTGGCTGCTGTGAGATGTAAGGTATGCTGTAGCTCTCGCACAGATACTGTAAGGGGAGTCCTACAGGCTTGCTGAATTCTTGGCATAACTGCAGAAAGCTGTGCACCTCGTGCTACAGATCACGCTGTCTGTCCTCTGTGAGAATGGGACAGCATAGCCCTGTGGCCTGCCAGGCTAAGGTTGTGTTTGAGTCTGTCTCTCTCGAGTTTCAGATGCCTTCCCTGCTCCATTTATTTAGCCTTTACTTGTCCTTCTCAAGGTCTGATTTCATTCCTCTAGCATGATAGGCCTAGAAGGATTGTGCAGGAGACCATGTACTGAAGCCTGCCATTCTGCCAGAGCAATCTCTACATCACAGAAATTACTTATTCCTATAGGAGCTATATGTTCTGCACGTCTGGCATTCTTCCAGCCTGAAAAGTGGTGCTGGGCTTAGAGCCTACATGTTTGCAAGCCAGACTAATAGTTTAAGAGGTGAATGCAACTATAAGGGATCAGTCCCTCCATGAGGCCTGGAGAGAGAGTCTGGTTGCCTTGGAAACTTTCTGCAGAGAGCAGAAAGTACAGAAGAGACAGCAGTCTTAATTTTGGTTCCCTTCCCCTGAGTTAGCCTTGCTGCTACTCATGGACTGCCTGACATCCTGAAGTCCTCCTAGGTTCGACTGGTAAATTGTCATGCAAGTAACAATGGCTGATTCTTCTCTTCTTCCCTGGAGATGCATTATCCCTGTTACATGTTGCATTTCTGCTGGCCCAAAACCCGCTTATGGGTTTGGAACTGGACCCTTTGTCTAGTTGTGACCCATATTATTGCAATGGCTGGTGCAGCAGAGTAATTTACCATTCATCTGTTTGTTTGTTTGTTATCTATTTCTTTTCTACCTGATGATAAGCAGATTTCACTATTAGTAATATGAAAGAAAACAGAAAGGTTAGGCTGCTTGCGAGTATCTATTTTGGTGGTTTTAGAGGGACAGAAATTGTTTTTATTTAAATCACGTTCCTCTTCTGTCCATACCAGATGTTAACTTCTGAGGACAGACCCAGTCATGGCAATGCCTAGTTAAGTGCCTGGAAGCACCCAGAGAAAAAGGTTTGATGGTCCTAGAGACATTGTCCAACTGGAGTGCACTACACAATGCTTGTATGCATTCTAGGCTCCTGCCTCTGATATTCAGAAGGTAAAGTCAGATGCTGGAGTTCTCCTTAGCCAGATGCTCCCTGAAGTAGACCCTGAGTTACAGTTCTGTGGTAACGCTTTTCCCTTTTTCATCGAGGTTTAAGTCTCAAATACTTTTATTGCAGGGGACAAATGCTACAATACAAAGGTGAAAAAATTGAAAAAGATCTAAAATGTCTCTGCGGGACAATGTTAACAAGTGGCATCCTGTACCTGTGTTCTACCTGCCACTGAATAGTTCCCACCACTTTTTAAAGGGTAGAATAAATAACAATTCTCCTTTTCTATTTCCTTTCCTCCCACATATCCTTTAAAATTCATTTCCCATTGCTGGGGAATGCTACCTTTCACTGGTGCTCAGGATCTTAGAGGATCGGAAAGAACGACCACAAGCAAACTGAAAACTTACAGATGAGGTGACAGTTTGGGGTTTGTTTGCATTTTTTTTTTCTGACCAGCACTAAGACATCTAAGTACTTTTCTGTTTCATCACATTAATCTTGCTTCAAGTGACCAAAAGCCCCACTATTGGTACTTTGCTTTGTAACTAAACAGAATCCTACCTTCAAAAACAAGGGCAGACAAAACAGTAGGTTTTAAAGATAAGACTCTGTTTTGTTACAGAGCAAAGTAACAATAGTGGGCTTTCAGTCATTTGAAGTAAAGGTTAATGTTGTTATACCAGTGTTCATTCCCCACATAAATCTGGACAGAAATAAGGCTCTGCATTGCAGACCACAGCCATCAACTGCTACTAACAGTTTTATTATGTCCAAAGCATTCAGATTTGTAATGGTATTGTGATTACCTTGTTCTGCCATGGCTTCTGCCAAGACCTGAATGAACCAGATGAGAGGGGAAAAAAACCCAGCTGAGACTCAAGGTGATGAGACAATATAGGGGAGAAAAACAGAAAGAAAGAAAAGAAAGCAGAGAGAAAACAAAGCTTGCATTGTTGATAATCTTATCAGTGATGTGGGTCTGGCTTGCATGTCAGCTGCTTAAACAACTTTTGTCTGAAGCACCACCTAAAGTAAATGTGAATTAAAGGGAGAAAGTTTTAAGCCTGGATAGCCTGAATTTACTTTTGCTTCGGTAGGCTAGATAAATGTTATCTATACATAATCAATTAGCTTATCTAGAATGTTTTTCCCCACTATCTGGTGGGGAGTGGCTGGACAATGAGAAACCAGTTCCTTTAACTGGTCTGACTGCTCTAGCTGCTGAGGATGTTGGAGGTAGTAATCTTGCAGTTCTTTAGTGGACATGTCACTCTGGACCTATGAAATTTTTACAGTGATAGTTTAGGCATAATAGTTTAGATGCTTTACTTGCAGAAGGTCTATTTTAATGAATTTATTTACTCTTAAGTTCCACCTACCCAGAAAAAATGTCATTAACTTACAGACAGCTCATCAACAGGAAACATGGTCAAGGAACTGTTACTTTTTTTTAATTTTATGTTACTCATACTACAGGAAATGACTGTCATTAATCGCACCTTTCTCTGCGGTGATGTCACTGTCACTTCCATTTCTGTATTTTTTTTTTTAAATTTGCAGAATTTTAATGCAAAATTCTTGTTAATCTTTAATCAGACTCATGCTGACCACAAGCCAAAGTTCACTGAGTGTACCTTTTTATGACATGCAAGTTATACAGAGCAACGATTAGAAAAAAGTAAAGTTCCATTATTGACCGAGGTTGATTTGCCTACATAACAGGCTTGGTGATCTCGGAAAGGAGAGTCCCAGGCAAGAGGTGAAATCCTGGCTGGAGAGGAAAGAGGCTTTATATTTGAACATGTCTAACCACTCTGTCTAGTTCTGTAGTTGTACTTGTATCCACCAGACCTGACCAGTCAGCCTGTGTTAAAAGTCTTTTGTGCAGATGCAGGCAATAGTTCCCTCAGTGCATTCCACCGTTCTGTTCGCTGGGGAGTCTCCTAGCCCCTGGGAAAAGGGATTTGACTACAAACAAACCTGTAACTTGGGACAAACCATCCCTGCACTGTATTGCATCAGCCCTGTGGGTGTATGTCTTTTCAACAAGATAAGCTTTGATAGAGGGATGCAAAATCCTCATGTTATCTTCCCTGGTTTTCACTGAGCTAGAGGGCTCTAGCTGAAGGCAGCTAGAGAGCTCTAGCTGAAGGCTGTGATGAATGGCTGCTACTGCCCACCTGCACAGTCACATGTATGTGGCTAAATAAACCTCGCTCTGCTGACACAGTCAACAAGTGTATAGTTTACTGTTAGGGCCAAGACAGCCAGGAAAGGGCCTTTTGCTTCTCTGGGAATTATGTACTGCACCGCAGTGCTCATGACTCGGCCAGAAATGTGGCTTTTACTTGATTGGTGCATTTTTTGTTTTGTTTGCTTTTTTAAGTTTTTTGAGATAACAATTTCCCGAAAAGTTTATGCACAACCAATGAAGTTGTGGTCTATGTCAGCTGGAGCTATTGTAGCTCACTGTAACTGGGCGTTTAGCTCACAAAAGTAACAATCTTTGTAGACAGTCACAACCTAAGGGGAAGCAGCTGGGTTAGCGGCATGCGCTGGCAGGTGAACTGTAAACCACCTGGGTTTGTCATGAGAGGAAACACATCATTAAGGTATTTTGGGACAGGTTTGTTCCTCAAGTATAGCAAGACAATGCAACTTTCTGGCATTTTCTCAAAACCTTTCTGAGCTCATTGTGCAGTAACACAAAACGCCAAGCAATAACTGCACTTGGATTAGACAAAGAACTTTGGGTTTAGGTTGCGCAATGCCTGCACTAACTTCAATTTAAACTTTAAAAATAAATTAGACCACCTTTTTTTCCATTCGTTGTACAAGATGCCTGACGTGTTTCTTACACCGGCTAATCCTAGTCCTCAGTACCCAACTCGTTCTTTTTGTTTTCTTTCTCCAAAAGAAAAGCTCTGTGCAGAACACTAAGCTGCAGCTGTCATCAGTGCAAGAAATTGAACTGTGTATTTTAGTGTTGGGCAGTTTGAAAACTGTTGCAATCTTCATGTTCCAGAAATATCAGCTGAATCATGGACAACCAGGATTAAACAGCACAAGAGCAAGCCCAGCAGTGGCTAGGGATAAATGCCCTTTTCAAGCAGGAAAGTTGACAGGAGTTAAGCAAAGACTTGAGCGCAGCTGATATACTGGAAAATGGCTCTTTATCTGTTGGTACAAGGAATAAGAGAGCTCAGTTTCAGGGCTGAGACATGAAGAAGAAATGATTGTTTACCAGCATCAAACAGAAATTCTTATGTTTGGAAAGTTGCCTGTCCACAGTCATTCCTTATTTCACCCTAGGTAATGCTAGGGAACAGTATGTTCCTGGTATTCTTACAGGTATTGTAAAAGGAAAAAAGACTGTAAGAAAGAACTTCATGCCCCATTGGGATTTCACATTAAACAATGGATTGAGTTCCAAGTGACACAAAATTCCACCCTCTTCCAGCATGGAGAAATATTTCCATCTCTGCTCTGCAGCTATGTAGTATACTGTGTTTTGATGTGGGTAAGCTGAACTCATCTTGCAAAAAACAAAAATATTGGATCCTGATTGCAGGAGCCACAACTGCATTAAAACTGTATCATTAATGAGTTTATTTATAACAAATAAAAACAATAAATATTTCATAACTTACTATTACAGCTAAAGCTTCCTAAAAATATAAATTAATTTTAATACTCTCAAAAGTTGGTTTTGGGTTATACAGTTATAGACAAAATATACGAAAATTTTTGGATGACTGACACTTTACCCTTTACATTACTACAGAGATCAATTAATGCCCGATTAATACTACCCTGCTAGAGACACTGTAGCAGTGTTTAAACAGAAACACTGAAGATAAAACAAATAATTTATTTAGTGAATTGCAGTTCTCCACAGAACTATCTCCAACCCTGTTTAACAGCTAAATCTTGGCTACTACTCCGGATAGCCAGGTGATAGCTGAAGGGCCTCTGCAAAGCTTTCTTCAAGATCATCAAGGTCCTTGGTGGTTTCCAAATCACTGTCACAACTAATAGAGTTTAAAGTTGCGTCAAATGTGGGTGAAGTGTCTGGGCCTTCTTCAGATTTTGCAGAAGAGTGAGAGTCTGTCCCAGCAGTCATCATTTCAGCAACATCTACTAAAAAGTCATCCTTGCTCTGTCTTTCCTTTGAATTTTCAAAACACACTGGTGATTTGCCTTTGTTTGGTTCCTTTGATAATAAATCCATGGCCCTAAAGAATTCTTCACTTTTTATAGTTTTTCTTTGTCTCCATCTTTTGCGGGTAAACTTGAGCTGTTGCATTGTGTTAAGCGTCTCTAGATCTGAGTGAAACGCTTCCTGGCTTGCATGGATTTCCTCAGTGCTTCTGCCTGGGCTGCAACCAAGGTCCACTTTAAGGACGCCCAATAGATGGCGCATTTTGTTCTAAGATGTGAAGGAAGAAACAGGTGATTATTTTGCGAGGCTCACATCTGCAGAAAGCTGACAGGGTTGTAAGTGAATATATTCATTTCAAGATATTTAGTTCTGATGTAAGGAAAGTGAGGTTGCTTGCAATCAAGTGACTAAATTATATAGCAAGTGTCCAAATAGAATTGATTATTGTCACATTTTTTGTGACTGTGCCTGACTCATAGGTAGCTACAGAGTAGGAGCCTGCAAATTGCTCATTTATAAAGATGCTCCCCCCTACTAAGCCCTTTGGTTGTCTTTACCACCAAATATACCAGTATATTTCCACTATACTTTGGACAAAAATCACTGAAGTCATATGTAGAGAGTGAAACTATTACAGAGGCAGTGCCTACCTCATCCAAATGGTGCTTGTTTTCTTGTATGTGACACTCAAACAATTGTTCCAGAACTCTAGAAATAAACAGTTAAACCTTAGGGAAGGCATTTTAAGAAGAGGAGGAAAACAACAGTCTAGCAAATTTACATATATTAATGACCCTGTTTTCTTATTTTCTTAGCTGAATAGGCCCATTAAGATTACTTTAATTATCCTCTATCACAGAGGATGTCACCTTGAGCCTGTATTCTATGGCCCTTTGCTTGCTAACCAGGCTCAGTTTTGGGCAGCAGACAACAAGCATGAGGTGATTTGTAGCACAGCTCTTTGAGTTTTTGGTCATCTATCAGAAACAACAGGTAACGAAAAGAATTTGGGAGTACTAATCAAATACATGAATTGTATAATTGTATTTCTAATAAATATATGATTTAGTAACTAGTGAACCCTTATCTGGAATAGTATACAACCCTTACAACCCATGTCAAAGAAGACTGAATGCACACTTGAACAACGACAAAGAAAGATATGATATGAAGATACGGAGGGTTTGTTGTGTTAAAGAAGATTAATAGCTTGATTTAGTTAGCAAAACAAATATTGCAAAGTAAAATGATTTCTTCTTAGCATTACTCTACTTAAGGTTCCAGGTCAGTTTCTAATGTAGGCTGCATGTCGTGGTAGACAGCAGGCAACTGAAGTACACGACCAAGCAGGTCTTTTGCAGCCCCTTTTCTTATGTAAAGCCAAAAAAGAAAAGGGAATAAAATAAGAGCAGAGGTAACTGTGTATTTAAATATTTTTAACAGGCAACGAAATGACTACTAAATGAATAATGACTTCTTATTCTTACAAAGTCCATCTGTACTTGACACAGCATCACAAATTTGAAAGCAAGCATATCCTACCTGTTAGAAAATAGCCCAAGCTTAAGAATTTCATTTGTTACATCTTCAATGAAAGTCAGATATAAAAGCTCCTCTTCTCTGCAGGGAGAAAGGAAAAATCCAACATTAAATGTTTAAAAAGAGAGAGAGAGAGAGACCTGTCACACAATACAGTAGGAATGATTACCTTTAATGAAAATACTATTAAGAATATTTTTATAGTTCTTGGCACCAGCTGCTATTTGTCACAAAGCAAATTCTATCAGGACAAACTTAGCCCTTCATTCAATTTGAATAATAATGAAAAAAACTATGCAAAAATGTCAGACTGCCAGAAAGATTGCTGTGGCATTTCATGTTTATGTTAAATTTCTGTTATGGTATAAATGAGCACAAAGATCCTGAGTGTGGAAATAAGGAAACCTTGGAAAGCGTTCACAACCTGCCTTGCTCTCAGAAAGAAAGGTGTGCCACCTGGAAAGAAATCATAAGACAGCAGTTTGATGCTCTGAGTAAAGGGCTTTCAATAGAGCTTCTACAGAATCTAACTGCACCTTAAAATTGCTAGTCCTCAACTGAAGCCCAGAAAGATAGAAGTGCTGACAGCCTCCGTTCCTCTAAAATGACAGCTCTTTGATGTACAGAATCCTTGCTGGTGTGAGATATGGTTTGCACCTATTTGATCTGATTTTCTTTTTTAATACCTCTCAAAGTTGTGTTATTGCTAATGACTATAAATAGGAGACTCTCCAAACGTTCGGTGTTCTGTTTGAGAAAAAAATCAGAATTTCAGTGCAGTTTCTCTTTCATAGCATCTTTCTGTTTATCCTAAAGTATCCAATCAAACTCTATAGAACCATCCTCCAGCCTCGTTTAATAAACAGAAAAGCAAAAGTACATTTGCATGATTGTAATTATTTAAAAGTTGTCATCCAATCTAAAGATTGTATTTTTGTCTCCTTTATAGTCAAGAGTAAAAAACATCTATAGATGATCTGTGGCATTAAACTTAAGATACTTAAAACTAGGCAAGATCAAGCCTGTCCTAAGGCAGGAAAAAAATTAAATGACTTTCCCAAGGTCTCACAACAAAGAATTGGCCACGTTTGTGAATGTAACTCAAACCTCTACTAATTCTCTACTAATTTTCAGACCAGAAATATGGTTAGAATGCCCTTCTGCTTGATGTTTTATGTGGCCAATGTCTGTTTTAGACCAATTCTAGACTAAACAAGAACTAAAAACATTTAAAGTGTAGCCACTGGATAGTAAGAAGTTTATCTTCTAAAGTTATCAATTTTCTTCATTTTTAGTCATGTAGAAATTTAAAGTATTATATAATAATTCACAGTATGTCAATTCTACTTTAGATTGTGAACAAGAGTTTATTCTGAGTCCTCATTTACTGTTTCAAGATCATCAGTTTCCAGAAGGGTTTCTAGTTTATTGTTGCAACCTAGAAGAAAAAGGGGTTTAAACATACTTACTCAGACTGGATTTCTCTCCTTGCTGAAGGCTGCTCAGAATACAAAGGTGTTGCTCTAATAGGTAAATCAGAGGATAGAAATAGCAAAAAGCAGCGTCATAAATACCTGTACATTACCCTGCATCCCACTCTCTTCTAGAGCCACCTTATGCTATTACCCTACTTCAACTACTGGGATAAAAAAGAAACAAACAAACAAACAACCCCCCCCCACCACCACCACCACCAAACCCTGCTCCGGTAGCAAAATCCATTGTTCACCTTCAAAGCCTGAAAGACTTTGGTTCAGGAGTATTACAACACCTCATTGGGAGCCATGCTCTAACTGCTGAGAAGACCTCAGTGTTACTCCAGATGCTATACAGAAGTCTCTTATCCATAAAGAGGGCTTTTAGTATACCTTTTAATACAATATAATTTTTATTCAGGTAAGGCTCCCTATCTATGTATGAGCTCCTTATGAACATATTAGCTTGAGTACAGGAAGATGACCGCAACTTAAAATGGTATTATTTCCTTTTCACAGTAATAGCTTCAAGGCCAATTTCTTGAAACGCTTTCCCAGAGCTCACATATTCAGCCACTAAACTTACTTTTTAAAAATATTTCCCAAGGGCATAAGCATGCTTTTACCCAAACGCTTACAAAAATAAGATCTTCATATAAAACAAAGAGCTGCACTTTATGTGCAAGAATAAATCAATGAGTGGAAGCTTGGAGTTATCTTGTTTAATGCAACTCTAGCTCTAACAAGACTTGCTTGTTTGTATTTTACATGTTATGATATAGCTAAATTGCAGCCAGCCAAACAAAATGTTTATCATCTTTTCTATGTTGCATCTTTAATATTATATGCATAATAAATTGATGCAACTGAAGTATTCAGCTATTGTAGTGTCAGCAGGCTGAACCCCAAAACCAAACGATCTTTTTCTTTCTTGCAGGACCTGAGACAAGAATTAGATAGAAACTCCAGCGCTGTAGAAACTTCATTTCCTAAATTTTTGAGTAGAAAGTTCTTTGGCTGACTAATCGATTTACATTCTGCCAACTTCAAAAAGGTTTTAACTCTTATTTTGCTGTCAAATAAAACTTGGAACCACTGATATTTTAGCCTTTTTAACTGCCTATATTTAAATGGAGATAGGCAATTATATCTTGTGTAGCTCTGGCTGTAGGTACTTATGACTGTCCCTGTAGCAGATTACAGGTGACTTACCAGTAGTTAGTGACAGTTAGGCTGCAAACCAGCTGCTCTACTGTACAAAACACCAACCATAGGTATATAAAGGTCTAGAGCATATAACATACACAGTGTACTGGAGAAAGACAGTACCACCAAATGCTGACGTACAACGGAAGAAGATAGGACTGTACAAAGTAGAAAAAGGGAGGATGAAAACCCCAGTACTAATCTTCGGCACAGGTCCATAAAGGGACTGTGACAGATCTATCTTAAGTACATCATATGGAGTTTGCAGGTCCTCAGCTGAAAGAATGGAGTTAGGACTTCCTTAATTCAGGTCTGCACTGTTATACCTACGTAAAATCAGCCTCTTGATGCCACTTCCTTGAGTACTTATATCGTTCCTTTAGAAGCAGAGGAGTTTGTGCTAGTTCCTCAGGAAGTGGGAGACCTAGATTCAATTCCCTTCTTCAACCTGCAATTAAAATCTCCGTGGTCTGTCTTGCAGAAGAACACTCTAGTCATGCGTGTAAAAGCATACTGTATGCCTTTGTATGGAAAGGGCAGAGAGCAAATCAGCAAGATGGCCTCATTCTTAGCTCAGCAATGAGAAGAATCGGTTGGGAGCCCTGGGTTCTGGCCTCACTGCTGACACTATTCGTGCATTTTAGCCAATATTCTAACGCATAGTGCTACGGCTTCAGAAGAAAGATGTGGGAAATGCCTCTGGCCTGAAGCATTGAATCAGGAAGATTTCAAATTCAGAAGACTGGATGTCTTCATTACAAGTATGAAGGTATGCTGATCCGGTATTTAATTGTAGAACTGTGTAAGAACTATATGGTTTGTAAGCTTAGATATATGTTCAGAACTAACAGCTATGTTAACTCTCCATCAGTCTCACTCCTGACAAAACAGAATATTCACACATTTCAGACCGCTTTTTCCTAATTGGCTTCACAGTGGAATTTGATCATAAGAAAAGTGTAAATTTTGAAGGTGTGAAAGACCATTAATCTACAAACAAAAAAGTCTTATAGAGACATACATATATAAATACACACACACACACACACACATATAGAGAGAGACTTTTAGAGAGAAATGGCCGTGATGGCTTATAGGCCTAAGAATAAGCTGTATGGAACACAATAAGGAATGTTGCACGTATTTCTTCCTACTGTAAATCAGGCACCTTGGGAAGGAGTACTGAAGAGCAGCTGTTGTTCTCTCAGGCTTATCCACAGTATGTCTTTTATCTTCAGCCTATAACACAGAGATAAGATCTTTATTATCAGTGCAAATACACAGCAAATTTTACCATTAAAAGTAACCTAACAACTGTATGTGACTGAGCAGTTCTACAAATCTTGCATCTTTTCTGAGAAACTTTGGGTAAACTGAGAAACATGGCAGCAAAGGGTCATCAGCACTGACAAACATCTAAAATTTTAACCAGTAGCAACAGGAGCTGTGGAAGATTTCCCCCCGACAAGTCAAGGTCAAGGTCAAAGTAGATTTCTCTAAAACCCAGAGGGGGTCAGGTCACCAACAAGAATAAAATTCAGTATGCAGAAACAGGAATTGGCACTCGTGATCACATCTCTTGAGCTGCTTGGATAAAACAGGTAGAAGGTAAAGTTGCTGACTGCCTGCATTTTAAATGATAATACCCTGAAAAAGGCCACTATAAAGCTACACAACTTACTGTGGTAGCTTTTACAACAGCCAAAGTAAAGTTTAAATGCGACAGTGTTGAAATGCAGTCACAAGTTCTTCATGGAACTGGAGTGAAGCCTCCCAAATAGTCATTTAACTTTTAATGAGGTCAACTGCAGATGCAGATCAATTCAGGTTCAGCCACTGTACTATTTTCAGCAAAGCTATAAGCACATGTTATCTCTCATCTCTCTCCTCAAAAGAAAAAAATAATTATTTGCTTTATTAAGCCAAAGACATGAAGAGTCTGAACTTGTAGTCCTTACTCATGAAGAAAGCCTCTAGTTATTCAAGTCATTCTCTTACGTTTGATGGGACTGTTCATTAAGGACTGGCTGTCTGTAGACTGGCTGCAAGATAGAGCACAAAATAAGAACCTAACTTCTGACTGAACTCTTGCCTGCAAGAATGAGCATGAACCAAGTCAAAATATCTTCAGATCTGAAGCCTAAGAAATATTTCATGTCTTTTGCATGCTCCCCTCCCAAATATGATGGCATTCCATTTCATCTTTAAAATTCAATAATCTTAAAACATCAAATACTAAGGCAATCTCTGAAAGGCCAAATAACCACTCAACTGTGTTCAAATGCCACAACACTTAGCACTACAAATCAAAATGACAGATGCAAACACTTTTGTGATTGCCAAAAGGCCTGGTATTAGGAGCAGGTAGAATTTGAAGCAGTGTGATTGTTCTTTCAAGAATTCCAGATACATAAAGCAAGACAGAAAGAAAACATTAGCAAGGAAAACTTCACAGCCCACTGGTTTGGGTGCTTCCTCAAGGAAAGAGACTCCTGAATTCCAGTTCCTCTGTCCGAAAGTTATTTATACTATCTGTCCAAAGTAAAAATAAAGAAAGACTCCTTGAAACAGAGGCACTTTCCTTTGGTGAAAAATAATGCACCAATTACATATACCCTTATCAGCTATCTAAGCATATTAGTACATTTGTAGAATTGTGCAAAACAAAAACTTCAAAAAATTTTGTAATATTTTAAGACCTCTTCATATTCCTCAATATTTTTTCTTACTCCTTCAGCTCATTCTTCTGAAATTACCTCTCCCTCCACAGAATTAATTCATGTGATGACAATTAAGAAAACTGTCAGTTCAGTTGTATACTGTTGTGGCAGAGATGAAATAGGTACTCCAAAATGATGGTGAAGTACAGGTGTAGTAAGAGTATCCAGATGAATGATAGATCGTGCTTATATTACCTTCGCTGTGGTCTTCTGATGTTCAGTCATAGCTTTTCTGTCAGATGCTTTGTCTGCACAGGGAAAGCTACAAAATTTTGAGATGCATTAGATCTCTAAGAAGGCTACTTTCAAAATATGCAGGATGAGAACTGCAGTACCACCATGGGAATTCAGACATTCAATTCCCATCAATTAAAAAGGGGTCTAGCACTAAAACATCTTGGGCAGTTTAGAAAATTTCAGCTAGGCTTCCGTTCACATAATAACACTGAGTTACAGTTAATTTTGAATGATGATAACAGCCATACACTGGTGATCCAAATCCAGTATCTGTCTGCATGGCTACATAGTTATAAAATAATGGTTCAGAGTCGGGAATGGAGATGCGCTAGGAAAGTATGTGACCCACAGCCAGAAAATAAACAATTGCAATATGGAGCATAAGTTATTTTAATTGCAGTCTTAAGAAATTCAGAACAGATGGAAGAAAATAACTGAACGTAGTAAAGGAGAAGACTGTACTTTTGCAACTTTTGTTATAACATGAAGGAGAATAAAATGAGTTAAAATAGAGGTTTTGAACGCCTCCTTGTTTGGGAGGACTCCCAAACAAAAAGTTAACTTACATATTTTACACAAGCTCCACTGCCCAATGCAAAAAATAACTCACATATTAAAAAATAGTCGACACTTTCAAGAACAACCACCAAGATCATGAAAAGCTAGCATCCAGCTATTTACACGGACTGATACAGAAAATCCTGATTCATTAGTCCACACAATCAGATTCAGTTATCAACAGTTCATTATGTTTTATAAAAATATTCCAGTTAAAGATCTTTAATACTCTTTGCTTATTTAAAGATGTAGTACAACTATCTAGTTAATGGGAAAGGCTGAGTAAAGAGAATCTAAAATCCACTCCTTTCCACATTTTAGAAACTTCAGGAAGAAACTTCATCCACTAAGATCTCAGTCTTCTGAAAACTGGCATCTATAGCTGTTTGAGCAAGCAAAAGAATGTAATTTTTTTTTTCTTTTTCTTAAACGGTGAATTGTTGGGAGAGAAAAAGAGTGTTGTCCAATTCATACACAATAGCATAATAGCCTAAGAATTAAGTTATTCTGTTTTTTTCCTCAATAACAGTCTCGAGAGCAGAAAATTTTATTTTCCTCAAAATGCAGAGACAGATTCCTTTTTTCTGTCTTCTTTTTGTGTTTCTTTCTGCACATGAGAACAGTTTCAGTCAGGGTGTAGCCAAGCTGGCTTATGCTCTAGTGGCAAGATAATTTCTTAGGTTTGTTATCTGCCCTCCTGCAGCTACAATTGGTCTAGAATCAAGGTGTCCTGCTTTGTGCAAGGACATAAAAAGAGTTAGACATGCAGGCAGCAAGGACACAAAAAACATCTCTTTATGAAGTAGCATCAGGCAAAACAAAACAAAACAAAACTTGTTTAATTTACTAAGAAGTTCAATGCAAGAGAAGGACATAAATTTTGTACAAAAGATGTCACACTGCACACATCTAAGGCATTTAAATTAATAAAACGGCAATGAAGAGGTACATTCAAGAGTAAAAAAAATTACTTGCATGAAATACTAATTAATGAATTGGAGAGTATGAGACTATGGGGCAACGCAAGGAAGACTTATAATAAGCTAACAGTGGTAATTCTTTAGAAGACAGAAAGCCCAACCACAACACCAGGGAGAGCAGAGTAAAGAAGAGAGAAAGAATGACTCTCCTCAGCACGTGTGGGATCCCACAGTTTGGATTTAGTGTCGCTTTTTGTCTAACTTAACCTGTACCGATGAAACTAGTTGACCAGGTAGAAGACAATAAAATATATCAGCAGAAAAAAAAGAAAAAGAAAAAGGAAAATTACATTCTGTTGTAGCTTCTGCTAGGTATATTCTGGAATAATTTCAGAATAATTTTTCTGATTTTATACCTATGCAAATGAGAGCAAAATTTGTTGCTTTTCTGAAGAGTCTGTTATGGTAACAGCTAAATTCCACAATTTCAAAATAAGGTTTTAATCTCTGTACCTGATTACATCAGTCTGTGTTTCAGCATCCACCTGCTGCTTACGGCGATTTTTCCTTTTCCTTCGAGCAGGAGTATAATACCTGTACTGTGAAAGGAAGGATTTAGCATCTGATATTAAGGTGCGTGGAGTAAAAGGTTTTCGGCTATCAGTAAAGAAGTCAGAGTGCCTGTCTAAAAGATCTCCGCTGTACGTTTTGGAGTTAGCTTCTTGATGCCTCTGGGAATGACTGACGCCCACAAAACTATCAGTGGAGCAACTGCACGAAATTCCAGACTGTTTTCTTAGAGGCCTTGAGATACTGACACTCGAGCTTGAGTTAGAGGCATTAGATGTATTCCGAGAATCTTTTCTGGCATATTTTACAGGACTGGAGTGAACCAAGCCATGCTCGCCAGGAGGCGACCGTGTTCTAGACAAGTACTGTGCCCGCTGAGCGCAGGGGAAGAGATGGTCGTGGTCTTCTGCTTCTAAGGAACTCTAGAAGAAATTAAAACAACATTTAATTGTACTGCAGGTTTCCCACTTTGCTCACGTTGGTGCTCACATTATTATTGTTACCAGCTTGGAGGTACTTTCTATGAAAAGATTTTCCATTTTTGTAATGTCAAACTGGTTTCAGACCAGCTCCAGCAGCTCCAGCTAACAGATTTTAACATCTAATCATTGGAAATAAGAGGGTAATAAGAAAATGATTTGCTTCAGTACCAAAACATGGGTGCTTTGTTATAAAATATTGATGGCTATATCAAACTAGGAGCATCAATCATTTTTGTCCAAAGGCTCTACAGATTTTTTAAAGTCAAGGAACTAATAATGCATTGAGGCAGATTATCTTATCTGGGTATGCTCTCTGTGTAGTGCTCATGCAAAGTAAGGTAAATAGACATTATCCACAATTATCCTGCTGAGCAGTTCATACTATGAAGATTCTGTTTTAAGTGTGGAGTTGGTGCCTCTCTTTCCAAATCCTCTCAGCTCCAAAGCACATCACATACCCGCCACCTTTGTAAGATGCATACTCTGTAAGGAGCACTGCTCTCTGATGCAACAGGAGCACTACTGCAATGTGGTTTAGGACACAGAATAAGAAAACTATAACTAGCTGCTCACTGTCAGTATGACTCTCTTCATCTTCTAGGTGGGAGATGCATATCTTTGCTAGGGCTGTACAAATACAGGACCACACCTCGCATAATGGAATCCTGCTCCATGAGGAACGTCCTAATTGCTACAATAATACAAATAATCATAATGCAATCCAGCAGAGCCAGTCATGTTTATATCCTATTCTCCTTTGGGTTTCTGAACCGAGTAGCTACTTAGGTAGCTGTACAGCTTCCCCTCTAACACTCCAGAAAGCCAACAGGGCAAGTACTTAGCTTATTGCAGTTAAACAGGACAGAAACGACCTGCTGAGTTTACAGGCAGATTATCTTGGATTTCAGGTGATGCTGGAGAAAAGGTATTACTGCTCCTGCTTCTCAAACTGTTCAGAGTTCAAAAGTGTACTTCAGTTCTTACAGGAAAATTCATATTCTATTATAATGTTACTTCCAAGGAAACATTTAAAAGGCCACTAGTTAGACAACAAACCAACAGAGACAAACTAGCAGTAGGTAGTAGTATCACCGCAGTAAGGTGTAGGCAGCGTATGGTTCAGATTAAAACTGCGAACCAGCCCACTCCTCACCAAAAAGAAGTAAAATCTTAGTCTATTTTATATGCAGGTTTAAGTCTGGGTATCAGACTCGGTAAGAATGCCTAATTGCAGCTTTCTGTGACAACGCGTTGGGCATAGGATACCGGGAATTAAAACCATCCCAGCAAATCTCACTGACATGGGTGACAAAATCAAAACAAAATGGGAACCCTTACAGTAAAAGCTTACCTATGCATGTTTTTTAAAGTCTTGAGTAGACTAAAATGTAGTGAAATGAAGCACTGCAACTAATCTTGAGTGTGGTTTATAAGGAGAAAGCCAAGTATACCAGTGAGCAGTGATGACCAGGACCATAATTCTGCTTTATGGAAGACCATGAGGAATTTCCCAACAAGTTAAATTTTAGTTGGGCTGAGTCTAATAAGAAAGGTTACGTTAATACCAGAGATAAAAAAACCAGTTGATATCTAAAACTAAAATGTGAAAACTAATTCTATCATTAAGAAAGGTTAAGGAATAACTACTTTGGAAGGACCATGTTGTTTTTTCTGCTTTCTTAAAAAAATCTTAATGCTTAAAAATTCAATATTATTCCTGAATTGTATTGTGACACTGTGGCAAAGACAAGTAAGACCCAAACACGGTTAAATCTAAGCTACATTTGAAGCTCTTTTATTTTGGGTAAAATGAGAAAGAGCAGTTCAATAGAAAGCAATTTTATATCTGTCCTAAGAGAATTTTACAAAATTTGCAAGTTCAAAGCCTGAATATCTGGACAGTGAATGTGTGCTGGTAAATTTGCTTACACTGTGCCTGTGAATATTTAGGAAACACCTTAGCACAACAGCTGTTATGTATTCTTTTCCTAAATCCTTTGAGATGAATTGATCTTAGAATACCGCCAGCCACTGACAATTCTGTTAATCAGTGAGAGGGGTGCATGACATGTTATGATTTCCAAGGACAGTCATACTGCAGAGTTAGCAAATGAAACCACAAGTCTAAAAATAAGCAAAATTTTGTTTAAACTAATATATTTTATCCATATACATAACTATTTAATGCAATGCAAGTTCTGTTACATACAACTATATGATGGAGAAAAGATGACTCATACTGTGTGTACTCAAACTGCTTAGCAGTATAACTCCAAGAGACAGCGTTTGCACCTAGGTCCTGGAAGAGTGAGGGAGAGAAGCCGTGAGGACAGAGTTATTCTGGAAAATCTCATTGCACACTATGCAATCGGCATATGGCAAAACCCAGTTCAAAACCGATAGCTAACAAACCCAAATCAGTTATGTTCATTTTTAACTAACTGGTGAGGCTTTTTAAAATAATGATTTTATTGTTCCTTACACTCAGGCAGTGCATACAGCTCCACATCAACCACTTCACTAAATGCTGTAAAACTTAAATGAATGTATACAAGTAGAAGGGTATATGTTCTAAGAAGAAAATGCAATTTCTAAAGCCAATTAAGTACCAGATTTTTAAAAACCCTAAAGTTTAGGTTCAGCTGACATAGAAATTAACTTCTTGATATACTTCCACCATCTGCACAAAGAACAGGAAGAGAAGGGGAGACTTACACAGGACATATGGCATACATAAATCACCGAAGTGATAAAAGAAGGGAGAAAAACAAACACATTTACATAGAATAACGTGTTCCATTCATCTCTGCATTGTGCTTCTGTCAAATAATTAAAAACTATTAAGTAGTAGTGCTACATCACTGAAGTCACTGAAGGATGAGCTCCCCTACAGAAAGCTGCTTAAAAATATGCTGGAATGTGCATTTATTTATGACATATTACATTAACTGCCAATTGTAAAGATTCACCAGCAGCCTATCCTGCACTTACAGCTAATCCATGCGAAAATTATTTTATGAGAGGCAATCATACAAAAATGGATTGAACGGTTTTCCAGTTGCTCTTTATTGCTTGAATGCAGGAGAAACCTGGAGAAAATCCTCAAGAAATCTTCACTGTTTGAAAACAATCAGATAATTAAGATGTGGGTTAAAGCACAGGTGTGTGATTTTCTCTACCAGTGAGGTGCAAGAAGGGAATGACTACCTGCGAAAGGGGAAAACGAAAGTACTTATGGGAAATTTGCAAGATAATCAGTAGTGGTTGTGAGGTCTTTGAAATCCCCTGTTGTGGGGAGGAAAAAAAAGAAAAAAGAGGAAGTTGGAAATTTTTGTACTTTTCTTGAAAATTCATAACACTCACTAACCTAGTATTGGTCTAAATACAGAAGCATATAAAAGCCACGTAACTATATATTAGACCTAGAAAAGGCCTAACTTGACCTAAATATACTATTATTTCCCACATATATATAGAGTGCATATAAAATGTATGTTTATATATGTACATTGTATACATAGTAAATATATGTAGATTTTCTACTCTATCATTTAATTTTTAAAAAAGATGTTTTCAAAAGCTACAAGCAATATGACTTGGCTACATATGATGCATTTTCTCATAACACTTTACTCTTATTGCTTGAATCTACACCATTCCATTTTTTTCCCTTCCAGAATTCCTTGATATTTTAAAAGAAAACTAAAGATTATGAATAAACATTTTGTGTCACACTGTAAATAAGAGAAATATGAAGAGTAATATTGAAACATTCAGTTGGTTTTCCATGAAAGTTAGATCACAGAATACATTGCTGCCACACATATTTCCTTTATCTTCCCACACAATAATTTTCTCCCAAATAGCATAGACCTATCTATGCTATTCCAGTGCCCAAAAATATGCATATATGCTGACGCCTAATGCAAAGAACTAATTTTTTTTTTAGTTAGCTGAGCTGAAATAAGCTGTTCTTGATAGTGTCTCATGTGAGCCAACTTAATTTTACTACTACAGCATAATTAAGTGCTGAACTGATAACTTGCAGTAACAATGCCAAACAAATGGCTGTGTTAGCAAGTAGTATAATAAGGCTTATCAGTGTAATTGCTTGCATATCAAATAGTTGCAATGGTAGCTCAGCACTATGGAAAACAGATAAGACTGGAAAGCTTCAGAATCCACCTATATAGATGTTTTGAAAAGCAAATTCCATATCCCTTGGTTTGTATTATAAACAACACAATTTTTGTTGCATATTTTTATTCTCAATTATTAGAATAGTTCATGGAGCTGCAATATAAATCAGACTTTAGAAGCTTCTGTAACTGTATGATGACTGGTGCCACACAATACCTAAAATAAAAAAAGAATTTTGATGTTATGGGTTATGGGATGTGCCTTGGATCCATTTGAGCTGATCTTAACACAAGACAAAGGGAGAGGGTAATTATGGCAATACTCTCATTTTAAGCTTTCCTTATTCTTGAGGAGGCTTAGGGCAATTCTTTTCTTCTCCTCCTCAAATATATTGTAAGATCAAGTAGCTAAGATAATAACTAGACAGTAGAACTGTAAACTACAGCTGTGTTAGTGTCAATCTTGAGATGCACTTCAAGTACTGAGAAAGAAGAAGGTGTTCTGAAAATGTCATCCTGGAGCAAAACCTCATTGCCTGAACAGGTGGGCAGTACAGCAGTTGGGTGCACAAAGAAAAACATCAGGAACAAGGAACTACGTTGGTGACTTCAAAAAGATTTTACGGAGAGTCAGATAATGCTGTTTGCCTGCAATTAAGGTTTCAGAAAATTATCGGTACTCCTCTTTTTGTGTAGGTAACCTAACTTTAAGCAAGTATAATCATTTTCTTTTCTAAACTCTATCTACAAAAACATCAGAGGTTCAGCTGGAAAAAAAGAAAGATAAAAGCATTCCTATCA